GCTGTAGATGTGATACAAGTTCCCTACTTGTCTAGTTTGATATTTGTAAGTTAGGTGTGCTAAATTCAGAACTGTTTCCGTGAGAAATGTTACGGAGATTATATAGTGCTAAAGAATGTAGGAGAGCTTCCCGAGCTTTAGATGCCTCTATGTTCTGCTCTTGAGAAATTTGAAGGCTAATCTGATTTACATTATTCATTAGCAAATTGGAAGCCATAAGATTGCTTATAGAGCGGCACCTGGTGAGATTTTCTTCCAAAAATTGCTTATAGAGTTCATCCACTTTTTTGTCCATATAGCTATTGAGCATAGAATTAGAGAGGGGCTGCTTATGAAACAACATACTTTTCTCTCGAATGTCATCCCCATTCAATAACTTTGAGGCAGCTGGTTTCTCTAGTGGCTTAATGTTTAGAGAATGACCCAATGGTACATCTACTGAAAGTAAACGAGGACCATGAAAAACATCATCATGTATGTGTTCCACAAAGCAGCCTGAATCATATATGTTTCCCACACGGTCACCTCCAATCTGTAGGTCAGGATAATTCTGGCAAATACTTGTACATGACCAGGAGCGATATAAATCCAGTTGTCTTTCATTGTGTTGCTCTCTCTTTGGAATGGGTAATGCAATGGACATATTTCCAGGAAGAGGTGTATCCTTGCATTTTACTACAGTTCTCTCCTCTGCAGATATTACTTGAATTATATCATTACTTTGTTCTGCTAGACTTTCTTTCACTTCTTTTTCTTGAGTTTCCATTTTAGCAGGAGAAAGTGAATTGTCTTCTATATCTAAAAGTTTCTTTTTCCAAGTTTCCTTTTCATCATTTGAGGTCTTCTGACATGTAAATGGTTTGCAAATTTTTGTATATTTCCGTTCTTTGTATAGAAATTCAATTAATAAGGCTTCTCCAAGCATTATATTTGACAAATTTTCTAAGCAAAATGCAGAATATTCCTGCAATTTAAAATAATTCATTAAGCCAATGTACCTTAAAATGTCAAATCATGATTTATTCCCTATGCAAAACAAGTGATTTAAGGAGGTAGTGTTGCTCTAAGGATAGAGAATAGGACCAGGAATAAAGAGACTTGCGTTAAAGTTCTGCCACTGTTCAATATCAGATAATTAATTTAGAAAATAATACCTTCCCTACCTTCTTCATAGGGTTATTGCCAAAATGTTACTTAATACACATGCAAATGTTTTTAAAAGCACAGATTTATGAAAATATATAATTATCATATTCAACAATATTTAAGGATTTATTTAGAAATGATGAATCTTTAAGAGTCTATTTAAAATTAAACCACCTTTCAAAGAATTGTTTTACTTGTATTTTATTAATGTCATTTGAGCCACACATTGAAAAAGCTTACTATACCTTAGAATTTATACAAGATGTGGAAATTTATGTATAAACAGTTTGGAATTATGCAAACTTTCTGATTTAAACCATAAATATAGCCATTTTACTTTTTAAATAATGTAAATGCAAATAGATTTGTCAAATTCTTTTTTTCTTTTCCTGTCTTTCTCATTTGGACTCAAATTTTGGACTCAAATTTTATTTTCCTATGCAAATAATTCAGTCTTCTGTATGATTCTTTAGTGCAGTTTTTAGACTTCCAATTTTCTCTATAAACTCTTTATAGTGTGAAGCAGACTTGATTCAAGACATAATTTTCCTCTAATGAGCCCACAGTGTCTGCTATAAATGATTCCATGAAATCTATTTATATTCATATGTAAAGGCTTTTTGGAAGAAAATAAAATTATATGAATGAAAATATGTAAGAATGTAAACTTACCTTTTCCAAATGTCAGGATAACTAAAGATTTGGTCTTCTGAGATTCCAACAGTTAAAACACAGGAAAAGATCCCTTTTGATTAGTTTGTTTCTCAGCTTTGTTTTCCACCTCAGAAAGATAGCTTTAATCACACAAAATAGTTCTGCTTTCCATTTGTACTCTAGAACTAACCATGTATGGTATGATAATGATCACATACCAAAAGAGTATCTTGAAAGTGTTTATTCAAGTTGTAAATGACAGTAAGAGTGGGAAAATGTTAAAAGCAATAGCTCTTTTCATGCAAGTGAAGGCAGAGACAAGGTTATTTTTATTTTTATTTTCTTTGGGGGGGAGAGGTTTTTGCTATAGGGCATGT